GCTATGGCAGTTCTTTACCAACTGAAATTAGATGTGAGCAAGTTTTTTAATAACTGGTAGAAGTTCATTTCTTGGCGTATATGTAAATCATGCTCTTTTATAGTGACCACCATATGATCAGTCATTTATTTGGCCTTTTATGTGATAATACATTAAGTAGTTCAGTGATTGTTCACATGCTTGCAACAAGTCTGTAGTTACAAATTAGAGCTGGATCACCCTGTCTTAGAAAGGCAGCCTCAGTGCTGTGTGTAGATAAAATGAAATGCATTCTGTAAGAAATTTAAGGATATTCATTAACGGAAAGGCTATTGTATGAACATTGTGTCACTCAGAGCTATAGATATTTTTCATTTAGAATGTTCTGTAGTATTTTTCTACTATGACTAAAGAGTATAGGCCTGATCTCATTTTTATTATTCTCTATTGAAGCAGACAAATCTATTGCTCATAAAGTCTGACAAACTGAAATGGGAACTACTTACTCCTTCCTGAGCTCCATGAACATCATCATAAAAGGCATAATATTTATATATATATATACATAGATAACCTTTTCTGTATGCAGTACAACTTCTTCCATTTCAGGTACTGCCACCGCAGTTTTATTAAAACAGAACTCCAGGGGAATATTTCAGGAAGACAGAAGTTTCATCTCAGGCAGGCATGCAGGATTGCACCCTTGAAAGAATTGAAAGAGTTTGAAAGGAACTTGCCAAAACTGCAGGAATTAGAGGCCTGGGATCACATTTCTGCTTCCAGTGTTGATAGAGCAAAAGCAACTTGTTTTTGTTTATTCCCGTGTTGATTCTGGGACTCTGTCATCTCTCCCTGCACAGTCATTTGGCTTCAGTGGGAGGAATGAAAAGCAGGTGGTAATGGTTGGAACCCAAACAGGCCAAAGAAAGTCCTTAGTAGCCCATGCTAATATGCAAAACTGGAGAACCATTTATTCCTCCTGATATGTTTTTGAGGAGAATTACACCAGAATTCAGTAGTCTGAAAGTGCATGAGATGTGATTGTGGGACTCTCACTGCAAAGGTTAAGCAGGTCACATGTGTGGATGTCAACACCGTGGTGGCTGCTTGGGTTTTGATCTAACATAGGAACAGTCAGTCCAAAAGAGAGGTACTGAATGATTTTAGGACTACACCATGCTGGAAAAGAGGTGTCCAAAATCACTCTAAGATCCAGGAGTGATTTATCTTGCCTACAACCAGTTGCCTCCAATCACTCAACTGAAATCCATCTTAATTCGCTCTTCCCAAGTTTTATTTTCAGTCCTAAAATATATTCAGTGAGCAGCCAGCCATAGCTTCACATGTACTTCGTTTATCTGTAATAGTTTTTCTCACAATTTTGAATGGATAATCTCATTTTCTTCTTAGAGACTATATAAAGGGTGGGTTTTTTTGTTTAATTCTGTTTTACGGTATTCAGAAGGGTTTGGCATTCAGCAGTAGATAAAGAGTTGAGTTTATTCTTGTTTACTTCCAAAACTGATTGAATATAAATTCTTTATCATTATCATTGTCTTTCAAAAGCTTGTTTGTAGTACTCTTACAGCTTTCAGAAGATAGTCCCATTTTTCCCTAGTTCCTGTAATTCACATTCTTCTGACCTGCATTTTATTAAACAAAAATAAGATACCCTCTTAAAACTACAGAATCAAACAGAGTAAATAAATCCTTAGAGGACACTTATCGTTAAAAAAAAAAAAAAAAAAATAATTAATTACTCCTTTACTGTTCAAATGTCTGAGGATAACTTCTCCTATACACCCACACATTCCCTTGAGCCGCTGCATGGGATTGTTTAGGTGTTTTCATTAGGGGATAAAGTGAATTAGAGTACATCATTTATAGCAGCCACTTAAGTGGCATCAAAGGTAAAAATATGACCATAATTAAGAAAATGTAGTTCCCATGGAATGGTATTATCACTGGGTTTATCTCTCTGCACATGCAATAGGAACAACCCTGCATAACTTTAAAATGTGGGTATGGTAAACACGACATCCAGAAAGTTCCCTGTCAGCATTTCCCACATCAGCTGCAATTCGAGGCAGTACCTGGATGAGGAAAGCAGTATGTCATCCCAGTTGTACTGTGTGCTGCTTTGGGATAAGAACACTGTTACCTGCCACAGTCAGGCCACCATTCCCAGCATCTTAACAATGTCATTAACACAGCTTCTTCAGGAATTCTTTTGGGATTCTGAAAAAATGTTTTTGTCACTAAAATGTCACCATGTGCCTAGGCAAGCATTCTAAGGTGCATTGGCATGTTTGGTGAGTTGGTGATGTATTTGTCAGTAAAAAGCAGCAGACCTTATCTTGTGAGTGGGCACCTTTCTCACTGCCATGGATTTCAGATATGCTTGTAGTGAAAAAATGCAATATTTCAGGACTAAGTATATGCTAGAATTATCCTTCCAACTACACATGGGTGTAGAGCCACCTATATTCATCCACCAGATAGCCTGAGATGGTAATGGAGTGTTGAACAGCTTATGAAAGACATGGATTGCTTCCATTAGCCTCAGTGAATCCTGCCAAATTCCCAGCACCCTTGCTTCAGTGCTTCAAAAGCAACTAAGTTGGGGGAACATGTGGCAAGATGCCTGTCCTCTCAGCTGACAGTGAAACAGTTCTACGTTAAAATACAGGCTGAAATTTATGGCCTTTTATTAAGAAGGTTACAAGCTCAGACTGACCCATCTATAAATAATTTAGAGAGTATAATTTAATGTGTGCAATCGATTTGGTGTGTTTTCCCTGTATTTGGTGAGACCACATACACCTACACTGCTCCATGTATTCAGATATCACTGAATAAAGTCCTCCAGTTTTTCATCATGAAAGCATAAGACAACACCATGGTACTGACAAGTAAACATGCAATAACTAAAAGTAAACAGGTGCTAAAGTGTTCATCTGAGTCATAAGGACATCCTGCTGGGAAGCATTCCCTAATTCACTTTTATTTCAAGTATAAGAGTGCCTGGAGTTCGTCATTTCAGGAATTTCATGACCACTGGCCTGATATTTGCAGGATGCTTCTCCACACCAGCTCACTTTGTGGACACTTTTGACATGGAGTTTGTGGAAAGTAGTTTACCACATTTGAGTATTTGTAACCTTCCTTGTTCAAAATAGCTTCCCTTTGTGGATGAACATTTGATTTGATCACTCAATACTATTTTCTTCATCTTGCAGAAGACTTCCTTCACTCCAAATGCTGAATGTGCATGGAGTCCTACTAAGGGAAAAAAAAAAAAATAGATCATCTGGCTATAGTGTTTGGATATTGGCTACAATAATGTGCCAGAAATATGTTAAATTCTCATTAAAGTCCTGGAAGTGAAGCACTTAGGCTGGAAAACAATAAGCAAAACCAGAAATGTAGGGGGGGAAGGGAAAGAACCTACAAATACATAGAGTATAGAATGACAAACTATTAAATTATCCTATTAATTGGCAATACCTTAAGGCATAGATGTGTTTAAAAACTTATGAACTTGCCTTGTTGAGATCTTTGTTACAGAACTCACTGAGCTCCAAAAGACCATTCCCAGATTTATGTGGAAAAGTACTTATGAGAAAAAGTATTTCTTGTTGAGTGTTGTGTTTTAATACCAGAGTTCTGTCACCTTTTCTTTCTGTTGTTTTGTCAAACCTGCTTGATTTAATCCAAAGGGGCAGAACTGTTCGGTGTGTTAGAGAAAGACTTGCTTTTGATAGAAGTAATCCAGGAACCGTGTTATTGCCCTTGTATCCTCTCTTCTGCTTACTGAAAAGTGGCATGATTGTAATCCCATTGAAATCACTGAGATTTCTGATATTGAATAAAATCAGAAAAGAAGCATGTCTGTCATTATTTTGTTACTCTCCAGGAGCAGGTTTATCTGTGTGTTAGAGCATGGGCAGATACAGAAGCACTCCCAGTCATTACCACTGTCCAATTCTCGTGAAAAGCTTTCCTAAACTGGGGTGTGCTTTCCCTGCTGTTGTCTCCTGGCTCACCAGCCCCTCAATTGGCAGGGTTACTGCTGATGAGGTAAACCACGGAAATTGTATATCTTAATTTCAGATGTTATCAACATACCATTAAAACTTATCTGGTTTGACTTATTATTTGGGCAGAACCAATATCAAAAAGGAGTCCCTGGTGGTGACCACCGAGAGGTAGTTTTTTACATTGTCCCTTCTTACTTGGTAGCCCCAGTATTCATTCTGAACTATGAAATGGACCTTCATAGTTGAACTTTTAAAATAGGAGACCTGTATCTTCAATTTGAAGCAGGAGCACAACAGTTTAGGCTAAAAGAAATTATCTCCTCCTTGATTTGTTTCTCATGGGATCACCTGACAAACAATATAGAATGGGTACAGAAATCCTCAAAATGAACTACCAAAACCCAAAACTGTTTGTAAGCAATTTTACTGGTTCAGCAGTAAAAAGAAAAGAAAAACATCTTATTTGAGCAGCCTTTCTCAAAGGTATTTCACTTTACTTTTTCCAGGAGTCACTGATGTGATGTCTGTGCTTTTTTTTTTCCAGCTTACTTTATCAGATCAAATAATGAACAGATTAAGAGAACAGAAGAATCTATCTTCTTTTGCCTCTCTTCAAACTATAAAGTAGCTGTGGGCCTGAGTTATGAACATTGGCTGGATCAGGGACTGGAATAGCTTTTTTTGGCTCTGTAAAATATTAATGAGATCAGTGAGAGCAAGGCAAGAGGAAGCTTGGTGAAGGAAAGGTGCCCCATTCTCATCTTGCACAAATCAGTTCCGCTGTTGGCCATAGGTGGAAGAGGTAGAAGACTTTATTTTTATGAGTATATTTGTCTTGCTCAGTCTTTAACTGACAGTAGAGAAGAGTACTGTCATTTGAACCAGGAAAGCTGAGTGCTAGATTGTATAATATTTTAATATTAATAGTTGTGTAATTATTGGCTTGAACACCATTGTACTAAGGCATGCTGTCCTTTCTAGGTAACGTTTCGGACAAGAATCTACCACTGTAACATTAACAGCCAAGGCGTCATCTGCCTGGACATTTTAAAAGACAACTGGAGCCCAGCATTAACCATTTCTAAAGTTCTCCTCTCCATCTGCTCCCTCCTCACAGACTGCAACCCAGGTAAGAGAAATTAACTTTCACATTTGCATTCATTCACAGTTAATATTCCGTCAGCTATTGGATATGCTTGGTGTGCTGTTTTAGTACTACCTACTAAAAAAAAAGGCCAAAATGTACATTTAAAATGCCATCTGTTTAAGTTAGGGTACAGTATAGAAAGAAAGCACAATTTCAGGAGCTCAAGTGCATTTTCAGTTGAGAATAAAAGTCTTTTATTTCAAAAAGTCTAATCAGTAGAAAATATTTTGTAGTAGGCACTAATTTGTATATTACAACCAGGATATTAGTACCAAGAAATATTAATGAGTTTATAAATATTGAAAAGTAAAGCTTTCATTTAAATATGCTGATAATATGGGCTCTGAAAGAATATTTGTAGTGCTGACAATGACAGATGTCTAACACAGACTCTACAAATAATGAAAATTAATTTAAATGAGGTTTATTCAATATCCTGGACAGCCAATATGAGTATTCAAAGCAAGTTGTCATTCTTATTAACTAGCATAGCACTTAACCTCTTCCCTCAGCTCATGTAGATTTGTTTTCTGCCATTGACCATTAGATCTGTAATTTCCACTTTCTCTTACTCTGTTTACCAATGAATGGTTCTGACTGTAACCTTGGAAAATTATGCTATATGGAAATTATTTAAGAATCATCAAGATAAAATTAAGTGATCTGTTTACATGTTGTGAAGGTTGTTGCTGGTTTATTTTTTATTGTACAATTCTTTTTTCATTTGCCATCTAGTTTTTAAACCTTTAGGTTTCCTGTTTTTAAACTTCTCCCCAACCAAAAGGCTAAAAATTGCTTTGCAAAGGGTAGAATGTGATATTCTTGTGTAATCAAGGGCTGAGTCCAAAGCTGTAACAGAAATCTGAATTCTTTCCAAGCTCAAAATAAGGTGAAAGTGGGCAAAAATGCAATTGACTGTTTTCATTTTCATATAGGTTTGTTACTGTATATAGCATTACAGTAACCCATGGCATTCCTTCCACCTAAGAGTGGTAAAAGAGACCTGTGATACTATTTCAGGCATATTTATTTCAGGTGTTGGATGCTCTTTGCTTACATCTCTGAAAGACTGACTTCTAGCAGTGTCTACCCCAAAACATGCAGAAGTTCCTGTGGGGAGTCAGGTAGATGGATAGCAGAAGTGTAAAGGAAAGCAACTGAGTATTTGCTTGTGTGTCTTAGAGACCAGAGAAAGAGCTAGAGACACTGCAAAGCTGTGTTGGGATTTAGAAACTGGCAAGAAGTTTGTGCTCATTTATGGTCACCTCTCTTCAGAGGGATGCAGTCAACTCGAAAGCTGGCCACTTCCCAGTAGTGATTTGAAATTTATAATCTACTGTCTCTGCTCTCTCAATCTTTTTCTTTCCCTTGGTCTATTATATAGATGCTGTCAAACAGCAGTTTTAACCAACCAAGTGCATAAGAGGAACACTGAAAACAGTTATCCAAAATATATTATCATATGCAACAAGTTAACATGCTAAAAATGAGAAGTTATTCTTCCCTTCAGTTTCTTCCAGTTGGCAACCATAAGCATAGTCATGACCATAGTAAATAAAAAAACTTATGATGTTTGCATTTTCAAACGTTCTCTTTAATTACAAAGTGATTTTGGATTTTGTTGCTGCTTCATGTTAAAATTTTCATATGTTTTTTTGAGGAATTAATGCAGTTTCCTAATTTGTATTGTGAATTTTGCTCTCACAAGATGATAGTGGGTAGCACTGAACTGCTGAGTCATTTTTGCCTTCCCTTGAGATTGCCTCTTTCGTGTTAGACACTTTATATAAGAAGTGAACTCTGAATGTTTATGATGTACAACAGAAGGCTTGCAAAAACTTACAAGTTCTTACTTTTTGGTGTATTGCCTAATATGCTACAGTCTGTTCTGGTTGTAGTGCTTGTTGCATTTATTTTAGTGACATTTTATCTTTAACAAATACTGGTTCCATGGCATCCAGATTGAACGTGTTAGGTAGGTAGGTAGGTGGTGGGCAGGCAGGTGGATGGATGGATGGATGGATCACTGGGATATCAGTTGCGAAAATTATCTTTCATATGTTTTTTTGAGGAATTAATGCAGTTTCCTAATTTGTATTGTGAATTTTGCTCTCACAAGATGATAGTGGGTAGCACTGAACTGCTGAGTCATTTTTGCCTTCCCTTGAGATTGCCTCTTTCGTGTTAGACACTTTATATAAGAAGTGAACTCTGAATGTTTATGATGTACAACAGAAGGCTTGCAAAAACTTACAAGTTCTTACTTTTTGGTGTATTGCCTAATATGCTACAGTCTGTTCTGGTTGTAGTGCTTGTTGCATTTATTTTAGTGACATTTTATCTTTAACAAATACTGGTTCCATGGCATCCAGATTGAACGTGTTAGGTAGGTAGGTAGGTGGTGGGCAGGCAGGTGGATGGATGGATGGATCACTGGGATATCAGTTGCTGAGATATATCACGTATATATGTACATATATAGATGAAGAAGGGTACATATATGTATATTCCTCTCTGTCATCTGGGAGTAATTTTCTAATCCCTCAGTCCCATCTTCATCTAACTAGTCTGCCCCTTTGTAAAGGCAGAAACCAAACAGGGGTCTCGATTTGATAAGCAGCTTTGAACTCTTTGTTCACTATTCATCAGTCAGAAGATCAGGTCAAATGGAAAGGCAACACTGAATCTGCCACAAACATAAACACTTGGGATGGGCCAGTTTTCCACCCCCAGCCTCTCTGAAGGGAAGAATCAAGTATCAGTTACCCCTTAGTCTTACATTTATGCAAATCTTCATTAGAACAACAAACAGGAGAAAGAATGGCCGCTAATTAACCCTCAGTCATACACAGTGATTAAAGGGAGCTGGAGCACAGCTGCAGCTTCATTGGCAAGCACTGCTATTCTTCTCCAGCAGGCTGAGCAAATGAAAAGAGGTATTTGCTCCTGCCGCTCCTGTCATTCACACAGTAATCTGCAAAAGCCACAGAGAGTCTCTTTCCTCCCCGGTTATAGATCACCACCCTTTGTTCCCTATCACTCCAGGCAGGAGCGAGTTTGTCCTTTTTAAACAACTAATATAATCCTTTACTTATAAGCTGTCTCAGTCCCTTCAGTCTTGATTATTATTAATTGTCTCTATTTTGCTTGGCAGTATCAGCCAGTAAACTGTGTTAATGAAATGTCTGAGTTTTCTAACAGCTTGCTGACTTTTTTCATGGGGGGAAGGGGTGCCGTAGGGTTTGTGTAGGAATTAAAGTCTGTGAATTATCTGGGAGTGTGAGAGAGCCAACTGGAATGGTATCAGAAAGATGGGAGAGATGAGGGGATACACTAGCATTCAATCCAGGGATTCATACTTCTCTTTAAGGTGGTACTCTGGGGCACAACACACATCTCTTTCTACAAAGCAGGGCCCAAATCCTGTAAATATTTTGGCATCTGAGTGAGCAACCCTGCAAAACCTGATAGGTGCATTCATCTTGCATGAAACCAAGTATGTGAGCAAGTCCTCATAGACTCTGTGCTTGAGTGATGGAAATATTTACTTCCAGTTCTAGTTGCTAGGTCTTGCCTTTGTGGGTAAATTAGTTAGTTATTCCAGACTAACTCCATCTGTGGACACTCCCCTCTTTGAAAATGTATTAAATCAAGTCACGAAAAACTGTCTTGCTTAGAGTAAAAGTCAACTGTGCTTTAAGTATTCAAGCAGAGCCTGGGGAGTGTAAATTCCCACACTGCCTTAATCCAAAGAAGCTTTCAAGTGTGGATGGCCCCTGAGGTTTTGTATTTTTATTGAGCTTGAAGTATGAAAACAAATTAATTATTTTTATATTCAGAGGGCTGGTGATGCTGATCTGCTTTAAATTGCTTACTGTTCTCAGTTGGCCATTGGCACCCCAGCCCTGCCAAAGGTTCTTGAGCCCGAGGAAAATGCTCATTTTGCAGATGCTTCAGAGAAGATAAATTGAAACATGGGGGAGACTGCACTGCAACTATTTTCTTCACATGGCTTCCTTCCTCACATATTCAAGGTCTGAACTTGGTTGGCCTGATTATCCTGACATGAAATTATGTCTGCCTAATAACACATGGTCAAGCCTTGATTAGGACATCAGAGCAACGCCTGCTACACGCCTCACACGCGTTTCTTCCCTTTTGGTGTCATCCTCTGCCTCTAGGTCCTTAGCTACACATTTTTCCCGCGTGTAAGTTCCACGGTCAGTAGGGACTTTATCCCTCAATTGATGTTCCCAAACCAAATGCTTCAGTGCTGCCTCTGGTCTTCTTCCCCATGTTGCCATGCATATCTGGCTACAGGCTCCTGCCATTGGGATGTGCACAGCAAAGTGTCAGAGGAGGCAACCTGAGACAGGGGGCCTGTCACACAAACATGCCTAGTCAGGCTGAAGATTTGGCTGCCATCTTTAAACAAAAGAACTGCCAAGGGGCTCTGCAGAGCCTCACTCACTTTGCTGTCTAGAAACTTCTGCCTGGATTCTAGCCTGAAGTGACTCAATTTTATACTTTCTTGTTTTTAAGCAACTCTCATCCAATAGCTTCAGTGATATTTTTCTTGGTTTTTTCATTCACAGTGTGTTAATAAAGAACCATCTTGTTTCCTCGTAGTCTTCATTTGCTGCACACTAGCCAGGCTTGTGTCTGTTATTCCCCTGCTCTTCTTCACAGCCCTCTCCTGCCCCTCCATCACACTGTAGTCATCCATCCTCAATGTGCCTGACCCATGTGGATGGAGTTCATCGGGGCATGAGGCATGGCTAGACAGACTAACCCACTCATCATCACCATCATCTGGGTTGAAATATTTACTGCTCCCTGTTGGATGTCCCTATCTCACTGGCAGCCTTATCAAAGGTTATTTCTTTCTTAGCCCTGTAATTTTCACTGTTTGTCTGCTTTCTAACCCAATTTAGCGAAGTGATGGAGAAAGGAAAAGGGAAGGGAAAAGAAAAAGGAAAAGG